CCGAGCTCCAAGTCGATGTCATCAGAAGCCGATAGCAACAGAAATTCGAGAGCGAAAGTGGAGGTGGGTCGGCCACATACTTCGACGGAGCGGAAACGAAATCTGCAAGCAAGCGCTGGATTGAAATCCGGCAGGACATCGCAGCAGAGGCAGACCCAGGGGCTCATGGCGGCGGAGCCTCAATAAGGAAATCAAGCAAGTCGATAGGAATCTGACCTGGGCCCAGGTCAAGGCAAAAGCGAGCAGCCGCCCAGGATGGGTGAAAGACTTCCTGGTGGTGCACAGGACCCTTAAGTAAGTTAATAAGTTCGTGTCGTCACCGTTCCTAAAATACCAATATTGTAGGGTATTTGAGACTTTTTCTGAGCCCGATGGCCGCCATCTTGGACTCCAGAATGGCGTCGTTAGTTTAATATTCGTTTAATAAAAAATAACATTTTGTTACTACATATAATCCGGATGCCATGCCTATCGGCAACCGATATTGTGCGGATACTATCCGATTACTAAATATATGTTGATGCCTGACGACGCGACACGTGACACGACGAATGAGCCCTGAATTGAAGTGAAAGTGACAAAAACGAAGGAAGCAGTTTTCGATTCATTCATTGCATCAATTGAAACAAGCCTTTGCTTCAAATGAAATGAACTGATGCACTTGACGAACAAAGCAAGCAATATTCAAGTCATTTTTGACAGGAGGAATGTTCATCGTGACTTAAAACAAAAAAGAAGCACAATGACTTACACGAAAATGATATTGCTCGAAATGAGCGATTCTGCGGAGAGTTCATTTTCTTTTCTTTGTTACGAAAATGTAGAACCCTGCACATGATTGATTTGCTTCTTGGTTAGTAAGGCTTGTACTCGAAAAAATGCACCATTTTTATCCGTGTGTAACTTTTTTATCCGTGGGTAAAAATTGATGAAAATCTGGGTATAACTAGTTTGGAGTGAATTGTTTACATGTGCAAAATTCCATAACAATCGGTTCAGTGGTTATTGAGATGTCATCGAAACAAGAAGAAAATCGCCGGAGAATTTTGCGCGCCGTCCTGGAAAATCCGACTGCTACCATGAGATGGATCGGAACATCGTTTAAGGAGTCCCAGACGACCGAGCGGCGGGCTGGAAGTGGAAGAAAATTTAAGACAGCTGTTCCTGTGAAGGCCCGGAAGGTGTTGGATTATTTCAAGCGTAATCCGAACCTTTCGATTCGCGACGCGGCTCTTAAGGCAAAGTATTCCGCCTGGTTCGTTGAGCAAACCATGAAACGAGCTGGGCTTCGTGTATTCAAGGTCCGGAAGGCACCGAACCGGCGTGATCAACAAAACACGGCGGCCAAATCCCGCGCAAGGACGCTGTATCGAGAGTGGTTAACGAAACCGATGTGTGTGGTTATGGATGACGAAACCTACTTCAAGGCAGACGCAAAGCAGATACCGGGGCTGGAGTTCTACGTTGCCAAATCACGGTTTGATGTTCCGGAAGACATAAGGCAGGCCATATGCCAATGCGGTAAACTGAGTAAACCGTACATCACAATGGGTACCATCAACAGCGAAATTTACCGCACCGAGTGCCTCCAGAAGCGTCTGTTGCCCTTCCTGCGGTCCCAAGGAGGCGAGACATTATTTTGGCCGCACCTGGCATCATGCCATTATGCGCGATCGCGACGTTGGATTGGTACAGAGACAATAACGTTGTTTTTGTACCAAAAACCGCCAACTCCTCAAATTCATCAGAGATTCGTCCGGTGGAAAGATTTTGGGCTATAATGAAGGCCAAAGTTCGAAAATCGTCCAAGGTGTTCAAGAACGAGCTGAAGTTGAAGAAAGAATGGATGAAAGTGAATGTAATGAGGGGTCTTAAGGGAAAGGTGCGGGCTTTCAGCGATGGAAAGGAAATTGAATGAAGTAATTATGCCGAAACATAATCCATATGTATTAGTTCATTCCTGAAAGTTTCAATAAAATTCGACTTAAAATAAATTTTTGGCGAACACTTTTGTCTGGTGCATTTTTTTCGAGTACAGGCCTTACTAAAGTAAATTTTGTTTGCGATGAGTTGGATTCAGAAAACACTCATGTTAATGTGTTTATTCTAGCCGCGGCTGAAACGTTGAGTCATCAGGAAGTAGTAACATCCACGATTTATCACATAAAATAACACTGTTTTATCAAATAAAAAGCAGCTTACGCGACCACCAACGATCGACCAAAACAATCTGTGGGCAGTGTTGCGATATACCGTTAAAAAAAAGTTGATGCATTGTCCAATACTCATATTGATCGTTTAACTCGTATAACTTAAATTATGCACTTATAATGCTTAAAAACAAACATATAATGTTGAAAACATAAATGACCTTTGTAACTGTGATTATAACAAAACGTCCTATATAACAGGTCCAATGTACACCTGACAATAGCAAAATGTCCTATGTGACATTTTCACGTTTTCATAGGAAAAAAAATGTGTGAAACGGGTAGATTATAATTTCAATTTCAATTTATCTATCGCATTTTACTATTAAAGGTCTTAAAAGCTGAACATTGCATTAGGTCCTAAGTAACATTGATCGATTCTCTTTGTCGACTTTCTCTTTCGTTAATAACTTGAGCACAGAACCGTTTCTTGATTTGTTTGTCATATAAGATGCTAGATAAAAGCTTCTTTTATCGATATGTGTGCTGAAAATACATGGGAATGTCTTTACATGGCCGTGGGGATGCAAAGAGAAAGTCGACGAAGAGAATCTGTCAATGTTACTTAGGACCTAATGCAATGTTCAGCTTGAAATGTCAAAAGCTGATTTGATTTAAAAAAGTATCAAAAAGATATTGTCAATCTTCAACCTCGTTTTTCTCGAAAAGACTTAAATGTGAAATAGGACCTTTTGAAAAGCTAGGCGAGAATTGTTCATATAGAGTGGTAGAACGCATCATTTGTGAAGGGAAAAGTTCCAAAAACACTATTTTAAACTACTCAGTGAAATACTAAACAATTTATCATATTACAATATAATGAAAAATAATAGTCCAGAAACGAAAATTTAACCATCATCAACTTCACCCTGTTTTACGGTACCTTAGATTTTTTTTGGGGAAACCATCCAGGGAAGATCATGAAGTTTTTTTTATGATGCTAATTTGCATCTTTTTAAGCTTCTATGGTGCTTACTAAATGTAAATATTCAAAACTCATATATGAAGGCATTTTGTGAGACTTTCAAAATTTCTGTGACATACACGGTAAGAAAAAAATACCCAACGGTCAGTACACTTTTACCTACTTTTGACTAGTTTGTCTCCTTAATGTTGTTAAAAACTGAAGAGCAAAACAGGGGTAGTAAAGTGTGGGAACCTAACGTTGAGTATAATCATATTTACCTAATTTGGGTAGAACTAACTTACTTTTTTGTAAGAGATGAACTAGCCTAAGGCTAAAAATCTCTTTAAAAAAAACTTACTTTTTTGGGTGGAAAGCTAGTGGAAGTGCACACAAGCGAAGACAACAAATCAAGAAGACGCGTCATCTGCCGCTCAAAGGTAAATGCTTTGAACTTTGATAGCAAATATTACATCCTCAGAAGAAGGGTTTGAGTATTTGCTCATTTTTCTATGCGTTGCTTCCACCTTCACTCAAGCGCAGCGCTATTGTATATGTCGCTTGGATTCTGGCAAAGTTGCCAGTCTTCTTGATATGATGTCTTCGACACAAGTAAATGAAAACTGCTTTGACCCGCTCTACCTACTTTTGGGTTCCTGCAATATAGTGCCGAGATGAGTGAAAAGTACTTATTTTTGGGTACTTTTTTCTTACCGTGTTCCATCTTTGAGGAACGTTTACTCAGTTTTGGCCAGAATACCGTCTAGTCAGTGCTGAGAAACCGCACTTTTTACGAACAATAATTCGCCAGTGAGCATGCATAAGGGCGTATACGCGATGATCGATTCTCTTCATCGATTTTCTCTTTGCATTGCTGCAGCTAAGCGAAACAATTTTCTAGAATTTGTGCAATGCACAGTTGTAACAGGTTGTATTGGCTATCAAAAGCAACAGCAAACGCACCGAGAAACGTTAAATCTAGCGAGTTATTAACAAAAGAGAAAATCGACGAAGAGAATCGATCATCGCGTATACGCCCTTATGCATACTCACTGTCGAATTGTGAAATCCTGTCAATTTCCACTAAGTTTCAACGGCCCACAGAGGGGACGAAATAAAAAAAATGGGAAATGGCCATTTGCGACGGAACTATTGAGTGTAGCATTTTGATATCTTCTCAAATGTTTCTTAAATTCTTGTCGACTTGAGAGATAGAAAATTGTCGTGTTCGACAAATTTTCTTAAAATGATGTCATCTACAATGTGTCCATAGATGTTAATCGATTTTAACAAGACATGAAAAAGTTATTTTTTTTTAATCTTAGTGTATACCCTCCTTAAGCAAAAATTTTCACCACTCAAATAAAGTACTCAATAATTGAAGAAACATTCTAAAAGACATCAAAATGCTACACTCAATAGTTCCGTCGCAAATGGCCATGTCTCACTTTTTTTTAATTCGTCCCACTGTGCGGACCGTGTGATTCATTTTCATATTTTCATTGCCGGACATGGAACTGCAACCTAAATTGGTGACACCGTGGAACTGAGAAAGCAAATCAAAACTTAATGATCATGAAGAATGTGTAGTTACAAAATAAATACGGTACGTAAATTTTGAAAAAGAAACCTACAATTGCAGTCACGCCATGCTGCTAAAATGATGACTGTAAAAACACAAAACAAACCGATAACATCGACAGCAAGAACATCAATTTCACAAATTCAAACTTGAGATTAGGGCTACAGAAATAATAATTTAAAACTCTAAAAACATCGCATTTGCAACTAAAAAAAAAATAAACAAAAACTAACATCTATCCAAAGACATTTTAAACCTACAACATTGACCAGCACCTGCCCAAGGAAGGGAATTTGCTACTCACGTTTCTCCGTCGATTCCTCGTGCTGCGAGCGATTCAGATTGGACTTCCGCTTGGCCGATTTGTCCCGTTCGATCAGCGTGCCCCGATTGGTGCTGCTCTTCACCGGACTCAACCCGGCCAGGTCCTTAGCGAGCAGCGGATTCCTGGCGCCCGATTTCATCGTGGACGTTCGCATCCGGGGCGAAGCCGTCGCTGCTGCCCGAGGCGACTCCCAGCTTGGCAGCTGCTGCTGTCCTTCATGAACGATTGTCCCTTCGACGACGGCGCCGTTTCCAACAGCAACCGCATCAGTGGTCGAAGGGATTTGTTCCAAAAAAGCCTCCCCACTGGTTACGATCGACGATGGCGACGGTTCGGGATTATTGTTGTTAATCAAACTGCTAGTTGCATTTCCATTCAGCAGATCATTTCCGTTGTTATTGGCTAGTTGGTTAGTGGTGATATCGGGCATTGCGCCACTCTTGTTACGATTGACGTCGGCACCGGAGCCGGCGCGTTTGGTGATCGTTTCGGTCGTCTCCTTCAGCTTCTGCTTCATACTGACGGTGGTGATTGTCGGAACGAGTCGTGGTTTCGCCGGCTGCTTCGTCATTGCCAGTATCGCTCGGTTTCCGGTATTCATCGTTGGCGATATGCCTTTGCTACCGATATTGTTGTTATTACTGGGGGACAGAAGCTTACCGATCCCGCCACTGGATGCCGTCGTCAAAGCTTTCAAGCGTTGGTGGTGGATGTCCTCGCTAGCGGTGGACGAAACGCTTGCTCCACCAGCTGATTGAACTCGTTCTTTACCTGCACGGGTGTGTGCGATGTACACAAAATCGTCAGCACGAACACACACACACACACATCGAATTGAACGTCGCGTGGTGAAGGCATGTGTGTGTGTGTGAATGAAGAGGGATGTGAAGGTGTTGGTGAAGGTGTTTTTTCGTTGTTTATATTTTGATATCGTTCGCACGGTGAGAAGAGAGCGAGAATAAACAGAGATCGGATGGAAAACGAGTGGTTAGTGCATACTTTGGGGGGTTCTGGTGGAAGGAGGGGGATAACAACAGCTAAACAGAGTAGAGCGAGATAAGAAGGGACTACCACAACCGTTACATTGCACAAGCTAGAAAAAAATATGGACTGTCCAATAAAAGAGCAAAACCGCACAGAAAGATGAGAAAGGACTGCAGTAGTCTGCAGAGGAAAGGTATATTTACAACAGTAAACAATGGCAAGGCAAACATAATGTTGTGAGCTTCTTCGTATCACCCAGAATTGCTATTTACACTGATGGCGATAATATCTAGAGCAAATACTATCTCTTCCTAAGGCGAAAGAATTTTAATTGTACCCAGTAAACGGTCAGAACACACCCGTTAACAAAATATCGTAATATAGCCTCACTGTCCCATCTCTGTTTGATTTCCAGTAATTGTCATGTTTTTTATGGGCAGCTCATGTCTATAGCACAATATTCTTATTCTACATATGACTTGATCACAGTAATAAATCGAGCGTTCAGAATCTAAGGCAGCACTGCAATGATCGATTTTCGTCTTCGCTATTGTCTTTGAAGTAATTCTAATTAATTCTATGAACATTTCAAAAGGTCCAGTCTATCTGCTTTGATCGATTTTCTTCATCGACTTTCTTTTTTTTTTTAAACGGCTATGCAAACAGGTTTCGTGCTATTTTTGAAAAATAGTTTGTGAAAGGAGATTCTTATCTAGAAATTGGATGAAGAGAATTGATCAATGAAGATGCCTACATGGCGACCAGCAAATCTCGATTAGTAATGTGCCGATTTTATCCCGTTTTTTCCCCCGGAATTTTGGAAATTTTCCCCGTTGTGCTATATGCATTTAAATTAAGCATAAAGCCGAGTGCGGTTGAGCCGAAGAGATCACTACGTTAAATGGGTCATTAAGGGGGTATTCCCGATCTTTTTTTCAAAAAATCAAATTTTTTTTTTCACGTTTTTTTGTACTTTAGACTATATACTTTCATCCCCCCAAGCCGTTTTCCGATCAGCGAATTCGGTGTCCAGGCATAGCTGACTAATGGTAAGAACCCCCAAATGGTTTTAACTAAAGTCAAAACTTTAAACGCGTTTTTCTCGAAACCACATTTTTTTATCGGGCGAAGATTTTTCTCAGAAACTATAAGAGATATTGACTTGAATCTTTGCGCATTTTGTTCCTTATTAAATTCTTTGGAGCTTCTCCCACTTTCAGACAAAAATATTAACATTTAACATTGTTTGAAGACCTTAAAGCTGCAAAAAAGCGGGCTAAAAATCGCCTGTTTTTTCATATGGCCGCCATTTTGTTAATTTGCTAGATTTTTTGCTGCCAACGGGAGAAGCTCCAGAGAATCTTATGCAGATTATTAATTTCATCACGAAATCTGTTTCAGATGAAGCCGTTCCATAGAAAAGTCTTCGCCCGTCCAGGCGTTTGCGGCGAACAGGGGTCTGTTTGCCGCCATTTTGTGACGTCAATAATGTCTTTTTTTATGTCGAAAAAAATTTATTTGTAAACTTTAATGTTCAATAAACAAGAATCCCAAAGAGTTAGGCGCATTACTATTCATTTTCCTTGAAAGAAAATAATTGAAAAACAGGCCAAAAAAGGCAAAAGATTGGGAATACCCCCTTAATAAGACATTAGTAGCATTTCTCCTGCATCTTAAATTTGGGTTCGCGTTCGAAGTCTGCTATATTTGTATTGAAAGTTCGCTCAAAACTGTGCAAAACAAGCGTTTCCTTTAGAATAATTTCCCTTCACAGAGTTCTATTCAGAATTCATTTAAAATAAATTCGAGATACTCTTTGGAAATCCTTTGAAAATTGCTTTGTAACAATCCACAAACACTTTAAAAATTCATGAAATTCATCCTAAGATTCTTTCGAATTTTAAAGATTTTCTAAGAACATACTGAAGCATTGGCCCAGTTTTTTTCTCTTTATAATTCCCATGCAAATCACATCAGGATTGTCTTATATTTTGCTCAGAAAAATCTTGGAGTTCTCCTCTCAATTCTTCCAAAAAATCACTTGGATTTCTCCTTTAAATTATCTAAAAACCGTTTTTCGATATGCCCTTGGAATTATCCTGGTAGTTCACTTAAAACACTTCGCAGAATTTCTTTAGAATTCAAGCTGAACATTGCATTAGGTCCTAAGTAACATCAAATATATCATATTAACAATATGATCCATTCATGCCTTTTCCAAATGTTGCAATGGCGACCCGCAAAATATTGCTTCACGCACCATCTAGCGTTGAAAAAGGTCAGCAACAATCATTCAATTACAATCGAGGGGTGCGAATATAGCACTTATTACAAAAGTAAGAGTCAAATTATTTTCTTTAATTACATTGTGTTTATTACTTTAAAATTTGTCTGACATGTCACTGTTGTCATCAAATAAAATAAAATACTGAAATACAATTATTTGAAATATTAAACAAATTTTTATTTGGTTTACCCCTCGTGATGATAAACAAATACATTGGTAGCCTTTTTGGCCACAGAGGTGCTTTCATCGCTAAAAATTCGGTTCGCCAGCTAAGCGAAAGTGTGGATCATATTGTTAATATAATATATTTGGTAACATTGATCCATTCTGTTCGTCGACTTTCTCTTTCATTAATAACTTGAGCACATAACCGTTTCTTGTTACGTTTGTCGTATTAGATGCTAGATAAAAGCTTCTTTTATCGACATGTGTGCTGAACATACCTGGGAATGTCTTTACATGGTCGTGGGATTCAAAGAAAAAATCGACGAAGAGAATCTATCAATGTTACTTAGGACCTAATGCATTGTTCAGCTTGATTTGTACCCTCGAACAGCGTTGCCAGATATACCGATTTATCGGTATTTATACAGATTTTCAAACTTGATACCGATATACAGATAAGGTTTCTCAGAATACCGATTTTTGAGTTTTAATACCGATTTGTACCGATTTTTTTAATTTTATTAATACTCAAAATGATCTGTCTGCCCGCACTGAATTGTCAGAGAAAACTATTGTGAGAGACTTTTATCTTATTGAAAATTCAAATTTTTGAGCCTGCTCTAAAAAAAAATCATCTTCAAAAATGTATTATGCTTAATACTCTTTCGACTAATGCTTACATTTCCTCGCGTTTTTGGTTACCAAGGAGTCGAGAAACAGCTGATGGTTTATCACAATAATTACTGGAAATCGGGAAATACTTTTATTCAGTGGAAAAATAGGCCCATAAAAACTTCCTGAAATTTTTTTAATCCTACCTTTGAAGTTTCTTCCAACTTTCCCTAGGAATTTCCGTTCACCTTAACCTGCCCTGTAAGTTATTTTCCGATTCCTTCCGGAAAGCTATTTTGACTTCCCTTGGAAGCTTCTTCTGGTTTCGCGCGAAAGGTTCTTCCGTCTTCTCCCGTCCGTTTCTTCAACTTCCCCGGGACTTCAGAAATGCTTCCAGAGTTTTATCATAGAGGTAACTCTAAGAAAATCCACGAACCCCTAATTGTATCTGTCAAATTTTCATAGCAAATTAAAACAAACATTGTATAGTACTAGAGATTCGACTGGAATGGTGTACGTTAATCGATTTGCTTGGGACTAATAGGCTAGGCAAGTAGTGAGCCAATTTATAGTCGATAGTTTCGTATTGATTGTTGGTTTTATTGCGGTTCCATTAGTTTCAGGAACTTTTCAGAAGTTTTGAAACTTCAGAATAGTTCGGACTTTTGGGTAGGTTCCGATAAATTATAGGCACTTTCATTAACTTCTGTTCAAATCCGAGAACCCGGGAATCTCAGGAAAGCCCAGAGAACTCCAATGAACGTAAGGAAACTGAAATATTTTGAAAACTTCACAAGCCCAAAGAACTTCAATGAAATTTAATGGTTTTCAGGATAGTTTCATTTGTTAGGAGAATTTAGATAACTTTAGGGAAGCTTTGAGAACATCAGGACATATACATTAGACTGATGCAAAATTTAACTTTTTCGCTCCACAGTGCTTAAATGGTTTCAAATCGGGTCCTGATTAGCCTCCCAAAGTTACAACTCATTTGGTTAGAAACAGACTTCGCACAAACCATTTGAAGTTTACATGTAAATTACTATGGGAAATCTCAACTTTTTGTTCATTGCCTTCTAGTCTTTTTCCATTCTGAGCATTCGATAGCTATTCTTATAGAAAATTGTCTCAGCTACAACTTTGCTGAAGATTGTTTCTATGTAAAACGAGACAGGAAATAGTTATTAATTATTTAAGAGATTGGTAAACTTATGACATGATCAAGCAGCTGCTCTGTAGGCAACACTGTATTTTGCAGTGTGACATAGTAGTCATAATTTTTGTGTCCTATTCAACGCCCCAGAAACACCAATGTTGCCTGCTGAGCAGTTGATTGAGCATGATCATAAGACATCAGTGCATTGAACCATTAATAACTTTCGATCCTTGCATTTAATCAAAAAGTGGTCTTTGGCAAAGTTGTAGCTGGGAAAATTTCCTACAAGTAAAATTGAAAGCTTTTGAAGCAGACCGATATGGTAAATTATTAGACAGACATGAACAAAAATCTTGGTTTTACCATAGTAATTCCCATACGAACTTCAAATGGTTTGTGCCATTTCAGTTTCTCACCAAATGGGTTCAAATTTTAAGAGGTTAGTCAGGATCCGATTTGGAATCGTTTAAGTATTGTGGAGCGAAAATTTCAAATTTTGCATCACTCTAATATACATTCAAGGAAATTTCTGAACCTTTAAATGAGTTCCGAGAAACTCTGGCAATTTGAAAACTTCAGTTAAGTTCCGAGAGGTTCATGAAAATTTTGGAAACGTAATAGAAGTTACATGAACATTAGAACATTGTGAGAACATTTGAAGGAACTTTAAAAAAATTAAAAAATCGGGAAGTTCAGAGATCCCAGAAATCTATTTCTTCCAGATATTTTTCCATCTTCTCCTTGAAGTATCTTTCGACTGTTCCGCAAGCCCTCTGATGTCCGACTTTTTCCAGAAGTTTCTTCCAATCCACCGTGGGAAGTTTGTCCCAGTGTCTGCTGGAAGTTTTTTCCGTCTTCTCCAGGAAGTTCAATTAAAGTTCTACCGGATGTATCTATCGAGTTCCCCCAGAAGTTTCTTTCGACTTCCTCTGGAAGTTTCTTCATAAGTCACTCTCCATAGGTTTTTTCCGACTTATTGTAAGGTTTTACCGAGCTTCTCCTAACTTCCCCTGGAAATGGCTCCTACGGCATTGGCTTCCGATTTCCAAACTTTTCTGGCTTCTGGATTTTCGTCTCCGAAAGTTTCTAAAAAAATTTGCCAGAAAATTCTTGGCAATTTGGAAGATCCCCATCGGATGTTTTTTCGACATCTTTTAGAACTTCCTTCAAACTTTCTTGGAAGTTTTGCCGGTACCATTAAGAGACTAATTCAAATATTTCCCAGAAATTTCTTCCGACTTACATGGAAAGTACATCCTTCGAATTTAGTCCAAAATTTTGATTTTTTTTTTAAATTAATTAAAATAGTGAATACCGATAAATACCGATTTTTAATCATTTGAAACCGATAATCATGAAAACAGTCTGGCAACGCTGCCCTCGAAATTCGATTCCCTTGATATTTTTCACGGAATTTTCCACTGACTGATTTTCCTCCTAACTCTCACAATTGACTTTGAGTTCTAGTCAAAGCTCTCGTTGAGTCCTTGCCAAAACGCCCTAGGAAATTTTCTCTGAAATAATTTGATGTTATACCAAGAATTCATTCTAAAATGTCCTCAAAATTGCCTAAAATATTTTAATACTTCTTCTAAGTGACTTTATCCCGAAAATCCAGTCCAGCACAAGGGTATTGAAGTTTTATCCAGGTTCAAAATCTTATTTGTTTTTCAAAGGAGCAGTTCCACGCCAAATGACGAAAACGGACAAACTACACACTTAGATTTTTTGCCGAGATGGGCGCCACCGAGCAGCTCGGCATTTTATTTTGCTGGAAATTCAGCAAAAAATATGGTTGTTAGCTGAATCTCGGCAAGTTTTTCACTGAGATCCAGCAAAATAAAATGCCGAGCTGCTCGGTGGTGCCCATCTCGGCGAAAAAATCTAAGTGTGTAAACACGGCGAAAAGATAAGGGCGACACTTTTAAGGTAGGATTGGGCGATCTTAGATCGATCTTTGGAAGATCGATCTTTTTCATCCCGATTTTCGATTTTTCGGATCGATTTTTTGTCCACGAAAAGATCGAAAAAATCGATCTTTTCGATCTTCAATTTTTTTTTAAAGTATAAAAAACGATTAACTCGCACCACAGACTGCGTAGTAAATTTAACGAACGTAACGTCAACATCAGCATCGCTCCCTACAATGACGTCCCTATTTACGTTTTCGATATTTAAGAATACAGCAACATTTGAAGGTTTGTTCTACCTGCCTCCTATGCTCATTGCTTCTTAGGGGTTGTTCATAAACTACGTATACAGGTTAGGGGGGTTGGGAATTACCCACGGCCCATACAAATTAAAAAAAAAAATGGTGTGGACAATTGTCTACGCAGTGGGGGGGGGGGTCAAGAATCCCAAAAAACTGTCTACGTAGTTAATGAACAGCCCCTTACCGTCACGACAACATTTAATTGAATATTATAAAGGAAATAATTTCTTGGGGTACCAACGTAAACAAGCGTATTAAAATTAAAATCAAAAGATCGTTTCTTTGATACCGATTTAATCAGTGGATCGATTCTAGAGCCAAATATAAGATCGATCCGTCAAGATCGATCTTTCTCTGAAGATCGCCCAATCCTGTTTTAAGGAAATCAAAACAAGGCGGATAGTATTGGGCAAATTGTTGTTGGTATACATCTTGAGGGTGATTTAATGAGGGCCGAGATGAGGGCGTATTTACGGGCGCAATTATAAAAATGACGAGTTTTCAAGAGAAAACGAACGAAATGCTCAACACTATTAAAAAGGGATCAATTTTACGATCATAAATGAGAGGGTTATAAAGAAAGGGGTGTCAGTGACTTTGATCGATTCTCTTCATCGACTTTCTCTTTCGTTAATAATTCAGCTGATTCGTGTGCCATTCTGGATGCTAGATGAGAACCTCCTTCATCAAACTATGTGCCAGAAATTGCACAAAATCGGTTTAAAAAGCTGTGGCTATCAAAAGAGAAAGTCGATGAAGAGAACCGATCAAGTCACTTACACCCCTTTCCTTCTTACCCCCTCAATTCCACTTTTGACTGAACCCAGCAAATTTATTGAGAGCTCTCTGAGTTCTCTGAGTGCCGCAAATTCAAATGATAAAAAATATTCGAGTCTCCAAAAACCACTACGGTCTTAGGCCAAATGGCACACAAGCATCCCAACAAACAATTCACAGTCACAAATAAGCATACACATTGAATAAATGCTGTATAACAGTGTACAATGCTGAATAAAACAGGATGTCGAATTATGTGCTGAAAAAAGTTCATTGAGATCGATAGATGCGCCTTTATTCCGCCGTTTGCTCTGATATGATTAATTTACTTATTAAAAGCTTTATAAACGTTGACTGTCCTCTTGATTCAGAACCAGAAGTTTGATCTAATAACAAACTGAATAAGTGTAATTTGCACATACATTGACGCTTTAATCCGACTATTTCAATTGATTTAATAACATGCTTTATTAAACGTCCAATAATTGTTGTCTAGCTCCATTACTAGATTCCATTGCATTGCTTAACAATATTGCTGAATAAAGGTGAAAACAGTCAGCATAATAGCTCTTATACCACTATGCGTCCATGTTTTAATTGCATGCTTTGTAAATGCTTTACAAACGGCGTATTCATTCATTATTCCACAACACTGCTCCAGGCTAACAACAAAACGAAATTGGTAGCATAGTGGTTACCGTTTCCGCTTTCCAAGTAGAAGGTCGCGAGTTCAATCCCAGCCTCAACCCTTTTTTTTTTATTTATTTTCTACGCCTAATTAATTTAAATCGTAATCATAAATCGTATCACTCAGGACAACCAATTCATAGATCTATCTAAAATAATAGCATCCTTTGCATCGAAATTAGAGAGATGGAGAGATAACGTTAGTCTAATGTTAAACAACTATGAATGAATTAATCTTCTCACATCTCCTTGAATTAGCTAGAGTTACGGCTGGAAGTGCTGATAGGTTTTCAGATGCAAGCTTTTATTGCTTATTTAGCTGCCCATATGATGTAATCTAGGATAGCTCAGATGGCAAGGCAAGCGGCTGGTGATCGGAAGGTCATGGTTCGAATCCCATATAACGAAATGTGTGTGTATGTATGTATGTAATAGATTTTCTAGATCTTGTATGGTGGGTGCGCGTGCTTCGACCGAAATAAATGACACAACAATCACTGACGAGAACACAACCCTGCTCTTCTGTGTCGTTCTTATTTTCGGATTAATTATTCCGTGGTTGAATAATCGTTTAATATTAAATAATAGTGTCTTATTAAACATTATTTCACATGAGAATCAAGCGTCTATATACACCTTTATACCATCGCTGTCTAAGGAAGTAAATGATGTCTAATAAACGCTGAATAATCAAAAATTTGATCGAATAAGCTCTGTTACAACTCTTTTTAGTCGAATAAAAGCTTCTCGACCTACCTTATTCAACACCAAATATTTCGATGTTGTGGTTGAATAAATTCTCCAGATTTGTGTGAACAAAGCCTGAACAGATGTTATTATTAAAAATACTACAATTATTATTAAGCATGAAGTGGAATAAAATCGTCAAGAAGTCGTTTCTTCAATAGGCAATTGTTTGTTGGGATCTTTCAAAGAAGGAAGGATTATTTTGGAGAAACTTAAGTCTATGATTTTACAAACAATCTCTAAATTGTAAAATCATCAAATTATTATTTTCGTGATTTCGAGATATGAACAACAAATCGGAATGTACAATAGCTCAAGTTTTTTTTGCTACGATACGATTGAATTGAGCCTTGCCTTATGTTTGACTAATATTTAATTTGTCCATCTGCTTACATTGCCAAGTGGAATTAGTAGATCCAAGATTTCTTAAAAAGACGTGCCTAAACGAAACTAAAAAACCTAAAATGTTTTTCAAATGTGCTTGGATCAACTTAAAATTCTATTATGTATCAGTTAATTGAAGAAGTCTGCACAAAGGCAATTAAATGGAACTGTCTATTCCTTCTGTCGTTCATTGTTAAGAGTATTCCACTAAAGACGCCAACATTCATCAGGATACATCAAATAAACGTTGTCGATAATGCTTTATTTATCATTGTTCAGCTCCCAAATTAGCATTGAAGTTAACATTTCACCATCTACACAAACACACATACAGGTTAGAACACACTAGAAGCTACGGAAACAAGCCGGCAACGGGTAAGTAACAACGGTGCAACAATAAGCAACAAACACACAACACAAAGCAAAAGAAGAGAAATGGAAAGAAGAAAATCCAATTTAAAATACCCATACCGAGGTGGTGGTGCGTTGGTTAAAATGAAAGCTAATATATAAAGTAGGTAATATGCAAAATCAATAAGTATAAATATATGAATGTGACAGGCAAAAGAAGAAGCCGAATGGAAAATGAAAAAAAAAAAAAACAGCTGGCCATATCAATCCCGCGAGCGCGCGAATGTGCATTATAAAATAGAAGAGGAGGTAGGTGAAAGACCAAGCACGAAATGCGTTGGCTTGGCAGGGGAAGGGGGGACAGGGATATGAATCTTACCCAGCGCAGCGGCACGAAGTCTGGAAGATCTGGTCGTTCGAATCGGCTGCTGTTGCTGTTGTTGCTGTTGATGTTGTGGCTGCAGCTTGACCTGTTGCTGCGGAGGTGCGGCGGCAACCTGTTTCTCCTCGGATTTCGCTGCACGAACGTTGCTGCGGTCTCGAGGTTTACGTTGCTGCTGGAGCAGTTGCTTCTGCTGCGGTTGATGCAATGGTGACAGTGGCAATGAGCTGCTGCCTCCGGTGCTCGTCGTCGGTCGGGAACCATGGGCCGTGGCAGGTTTTGCTCCGCCGGTACTAGCAGAGGTAGTGGATGTAGAAGAGGAACCGGCTGACGTGGCCCGCCACGGCCTACCCGCGGCGGAGGCTGCTGACGAGGATGACAACGACGAAGGTGGTGCTTTCGAATGATGTAGCGTGGATGATTGAGATTTACTATGAATTGCACTTGACGTAGGAGTATTGGTTGCTGATCTAGACGTTGATCTGGGTAGGGGAGAAAAATCCGTCGTTACACGAAACTTATCCATTTACATTGCGCCGATAACCCAAAGCTGATACTTACTTCTTTCTATTATCCAGTCTTTCATTTTCGTTTTCTTGGACAGTGTTCCTTAAATAAATAGGTTTCCGCCGGTCGGCTTTATATTTCGCTATTCTATCTATGTCCTTGGTGGCGAACGATTCAGTCGTAGCGGCGCCGCCACTTCCGGAGTGGATCGACGGCGACGAACTGTGGCTGTAGGCCGCCACCGGGATCACATTCTCCTTGCGTGACTTAAGCAGCCTGGTCGTTGAAGAACTGGAAGAAGACGACGACGACGATGACGCATTCGCCGTCGGCGCCATCGGAATCTTCGACAGGACACCATCGCCTTTGGTACCGGCTGGCCTGGCTTTGCTGTTGCCGTTATGAACACTACTGGTACCGCTGCTACTGCTCATGATCGCTTGCGCTCTTTCCGCTTCCTTCTCTTGGCATATTATATTCAACAGACGGCTGATGGGTGTGGATTCGGGGCCGAAAAAATCCGAGATGGTCTTGGAGCGGGTCTTCAGGAATGCGTCATTCCGCTTCAGGGCCGACTTAAACGGTGGCCTGCGCTGTTGCCCGCTGTTAGCAGTAGCGACGGCGAAGGCTGATGGTGCCGGTGGCAGATGGTGGTGATGGTGGGAAGTGGAAGTCCCAAAAGGTGGCGAGAAGCAAGAACCGACGACGTTCGGCGACGGTGGAGATCCGAGCGAACGTTGCGTGACTAGAGGTTTCTTCGGATAGGATACCGGTGGATGGCGGTGAACTTTGCGAAAGTTGACGGCAGCGAATCTGGGCCCCGGTGCGGAAGGGGGTGGCGTGGTCCGATCGATACTGGACGATCGGGTGCGAACGTCCCGCCGGGGAGATCGCTTTTCCACGGAGGATTCGTGCTCTGCGCGAAGCACCTGCAGGATACTGACGAGGCTTGAGCTTGAGGGATCCGTTCGAGGATGGTCGGCGGTTGGATGCTGTTGCTGTTGCGGTGGTGATTGATAGTGGTGGTTGAGGAGATTGTTCGACTGATAGATCGTTTGTTGCACTTGATGAGGTTGCTGATAACTAGAATTATGTTGCGTTTGGCAGCTTACGTTGGCAGTGGCGGATGAAAGCTTCTTCTCCAGCTCTAGAATGGCGGTATTGACGAATGGTTTGTTGTCTGGAAAGAAAAGCGAGAAGAAGAGGTGGTCAGGCATATGTAGATTGACGAGTACAGATTAGGAATTATTTTTCTGTGGGAATCAATTGGTATTATAGAATCTGGAGCCAAATTTATTTTTAATAAATTGGGTATCTGGAGGATTTAACTTATTTTAGATTCCTTCATCGCAAGCTTAGGCAATTTGATTGTTAAAAACATACGCCTAGCTTCTATCTGTTTTCGTGGGGTTTAAAAACAGATTATATTTTGTTGCTTAACTACTGAGCGATGTTTTTGCAATTAGGATGAATGCAATCAAATAATAAATTGAACAATAAATAAATTGTATGTAACAATATTACGAAAATACCGCCCATGTTATGGCACCAAGTGAGAGAAGTAAATCGATGTTTTATTCAAAGACCGAAGGCAATTTTTTTAGGCCTATTGTGATTCCAGAATTATAGGGGAAGTGTACCAGTTATGGCACTAGTGATCTCGTAATTAGATTAATAATTAGACCGTTTGGCCTAAATCTAGTTCAAGATAATATAGCTCAAGCATTAAAACTAACTTCCTGTGGAAGAAATTTCGATTGTCATTCAAATTGTAAGGTTTTAGACCGTATGACTAAATTACGGGAGCACTTTTACTATAACTGGTACACTTCTTCTATTTATATGAAGTTCCAAACATTGTTTTTATTTATAGAAGAATGATGTTTGTGATGTCAAGTAATGTTAACCTCTACGCTGGGGCCGTTCCCGGGGTGAACGCGTTTTGTGAAGCCACATTCCTAAAAAAAAATTGATATCCAAGTCATAAATCTACTTTGCAAATCTCGAATCAAGATTAGGTAGATGGCAAAAAAGGAAAACTTCGATAAAATTTTCAATTGTAATTTCCCACTTTCTATCACCGATACGATGGCGACGGAGATTAAGGGGGTATTCCCGATCTTTTTTTTCAAAAAATCAAATTTTTGTTTTTCACGTTTTTTTGTACTTTAGACTATATACTTTCATCCCCCCAAGCCGTTTTCCGATCAGCGAATTCGGTGTCCAGGCATAGCTGACTAATGGTAAGAACCCCCAAATGGTTTTAACTAAAGTCAAAACTTTAAACGCGTTTTTCTCGAAACCACATTTTTTTTATCGGGCGAAGATTTTTCTCAGAAACTATAAGAGATATTGACTTGAATCTTTGCGCATTTTGTTCCTTATTAAATTCTTTGGAGCTTCTCCCACTTTCAGCCAAAAATATTAACATTTAACATTGTTTGAAGCACCTTAAAGCTGCAAAAAAGCGGGCTAAAAATCGCCTGTTTTTTCATATGGCCGCCATTTTGTTAATTTGCAAGATTTTTTGCTGCCAACGGGAGAAGCTCCAGAGAATCTTATGCAGATTATTAATTTCATCGCGAAATCTGTTTCAGATGAAGCCGTTCCAGAGAAAAGTCTTCGCCCGTCCAGGCGTTTGCGGCGAACAGGGGTCTGTTTGCCGCCATTTTGTGACGTCAATAATGTCTTTTTTTATGTCGGAAAAAATTTATTTGTAAACGTTAATGTTCAATAAACAAGAATCCCAAAGAGTTAGGCGCATTACTATTCATTTTCCTTGAAAAAAAAAAATAATTGAAAAACAGGCCGAAAAAAGGCAAAAGATTGGGAATACCCCCTTAAGACGACAATTCACCCTTATGTACATTTTTCTATTTGTCCATTTCCACTCTGTTTAAAAATGGAAATCCTTAGTCTCGAGTAAGCCGCTAGTATTCGGCCCCCGTTTTACTAACTTTAGTCTTATCTTGATAATTTTAATTGAATCACGGCTCCGCAAAACAAAATCAATCAAGCCTTGATGAATAAATGGATTTTATAAAAAATAAATCCCTTGAACTTTCTACAGGACTAAATTATCACCTTGGAATTCTCCTTAAATTGAAGCTCTTTTCACTTGAATTCTCTTCAAAACTACAGACGAATTATTCGCAGAGCTCCCTTGACATTCTACTGAGCATTTACCATGAACCAAGATGCCTCAATAATTACTGACGTTGTACGCATAAGAGTTCCACGGTGCATAAGGATTGCATAGAACATGGGACAGTTATGCGTATAACGGCAGATTAGCTGATAAGCATTTCTTAAATTGCGTTTGAAATTCTTCACACAACGGCCTCCAAACTAAACTGTGATTCCAGACAACTCAACTCTCTTAGAATACAGTCTTCTTGTTCTTGTTCTTGTTCGCATTTCAAGCTTATTGCTTAGCGTGCTCTCAACTTAGTGTTCAAAATGCACTTCCACAGTTATTAATTGAGAGCTTTCGATGCCAATACCAACGCATGCATTTGTATATTGTGTGGCAAGCACAATGATACTCTATGCCCAGAGAAGTCGAGAAAATTTCCAACCCGAAAGATTCCCTCGACCGGACCGGGAATGGAACCCGCCGCCTCCGGCTTGGTAATACCGTGACTTTACGCACTAGGCTATCTGAGGCCCCCCTTAGAATACAGTACTCCTCCGATTTCCTAAAGGAATTATCCTTAGAATTTGTTCGCCTCAAAATTCTTCATTAATTTTCATAGAAATTCATGAGGTACGAAATGCCAGAACCATCAATATTTTCTTTAAGCCCAAGAACCTTGAAAATTTTCCTATATCCTTCATTATGATATTTGTTTCAAATCTTGGATCTCGGAAAATTTCCAAAGTCTGGCATCTGAAAATTCGGTCCAGAATCATGAACATTTATTCCAGCATGGGTTATTCTTTTTCTAAGGCCCAGAATTTTGAAAATTTACAAAAGTCTCAAACTAATTTCATGTTTCAGAATATGACTCATGATTTTGAAATAATTCTTAATTCTCACAGCCTTGAACAATTTTTAAAACATTTTCAAAGTCCATTCCATCCATCTACAAATTTCGCAATAATGGCCCAAAATGTATATGAAATAGCAGATACTTTGAAAAGTATATAAAAATGTAAATCCTATTAAGTAGACTTGAATAATTTAATTAAATTTTTAAATGTTTTAAAATTCTTGAACTTACGAAATTTTCAAAATAGTAAGTTATAATATATTGAAAACCTCCTCGCATGCTCTCCAACTTGATAAAGCCATAGAGGTAACTCTAAGATCAGAAGGTCCCGAAGAAACGTGCTCAACTTTTTGGCTCAGCTCTGGTACTATCTTAGGTCCCAAGCTAATCGATTCACCCCTCGAAACATAGGAAAATCCACAAACCCCTCATTTTATCTTTCAAACTTTCATAGCGAATCAAAACAAACATTGTGTAGTACTAGAATTTCGACTAGAATGGGGTACGTTAATCGATTTGCTTGGGACCAATAGGCTAGTCAAGTAGTGAGCCAATTTAAAATCGTTAGTTTCCATCGGTTGAAAAAGTGATGAAGATATGTGAAAACAGTTTCAGACATTTTTCGATCTCTCAGAACACCTGGCACCCCGGTTTACTAATTTCTAGTAATATTGCAAACGTGACGCAAGATAGGCGCTGCTTGATTGGCTCTTGGCATTGACAGTTCGTTTTGTTGGAAGACAATCAGTCCGTTCCTTTCTTATCCTAGACCCTCACTAATATAAAGCATGTAAATATAGCCAACTTTTCCTTACTCGATACTCAAGGGATCATCGGTGAGGTATTGAGGTCCAGTTCTAAATTCCTTCATATTAACTAAGAATTTTATAGTCTTTACAACTGTATGCTCATGCTCATGCTCGTAGTTTGTTATACCACCTCAGAACTTCGAATAAATTATGAGACTTCAACTGTCTGAAACTATCACTTTTTAGATTCTCTATCCCCAATATCTATAACTAATTGTTAAAACACAATACCTTGAACGACGAGCGATGCCATTGCTTGTTCTTCAAAAATCCTACGGACTAAACATAAAATTCACAAACATTTTTGTACAGATAATTTTCGTTCCTTCAAAAGGTATACGCACAATTTCAACTGTAAACAATGCCACCATAATTTCATGACCTACTCATTTTTCCCGTCAGTTCTAACCCACTTTTTACATTTGCAATTCTATCTCATCCGAAGAAAACCTATCCAGTATCTAGGGCCGGGACACCTTGGGTGAATAAATATATACCAATTCAAGAACAACATGTGAAAAGGGCATACAAGCTTTTTGTAAACAATCCTTCCTATGCCCTTTTCTCGCCACCCATATGACACAAATGAAAACCATCAACATCACCGGGTATGGGGAAGCTTTCTTCTTCCCAATGACCTACTAAGGTTTGTTTACAAAAACTTGTATGCTCTTTTCACATGTGGCTCTCGAATTAATGTGATGCTATTTATCATTTCTTATGATACCTTTATCCTTTCAGTAGTTACTCGCACCAACTTTTATAACACGAGCACTCGCGCGTTATATAAACGGTGCGAGTGCTGAACGGTTAAACAAACGTATTCAGCACAAAAATCACTTTTCGATGATATTTTTTAAATATTTGAAGATATTTGCAAATAGGGGAATTTACGTATTCTCGTCAATCTAAGCAGTGTCCACACTTCTATTAGCATTTTCTCAGCGTCACGCACATATATGACGTGTCTGTTGGTTTACATTCATCTGCTACTTGCTTCTCTATCCGTTTTAATCGACAGAATTCTTCAAAACTGTTTGAAAGCGTTTTTACAACGCTCCAAACTTCTCAGGTGAGTGTGACTATTGTCGGCAGCCTCGTTTTCTTCGGCAACCTTCCCATTAGAACTGCGTGTTAACCAGCTGTTCTATTATCGGCAACTTGAAATCAACCCCATTTTAGAGTACGTATGCTTCATTTGAATAAAAATCTGCCATAACAGGACTGCTCAGACGTACACATACAATCAGATTGAAGCTGAAAGACTAAAGAATCGTTTGGATGCATTCAGGGAAGTGTGTTGATGGGAAAACATAGTGAAATTAACGTTTAAATTTTGGTTGCCGAAAACAGTCAATGGGTGCCGAAGCCGACATTTA